TCTTTTTTTTTTTTTTTTTTTTTTTTTGTGAAAATATGTGAGACCTTTACCGTATAGCTATAGCCTAAGATAGGGATTGGATTAGCATAGCTATCGATGGGATGGGATTAGCGTAGGTATCACTATGATTTGATGTACATTGTTTATAATTACAAATTATGTCACTCGTGACATAATCCAACGCAATGGATTTCTTTTGCTGTTGGCTTGTTGCTCAAAAATCTGACCCTAATGACATACTTTTTCAAAGAATCAGTAGATGAAAATCCTGTTAATGATTTGCAATGGATTTATCTCGATCACATATATTATTTTTTTTACAGAAATAGTAATAGAGACTAATAGAAAATAAATGGCAAGCTATGAAAATATTTCTCTCGCCATTTAAAAAATAAATAAATAGGTCAGTCAAGCACATTATGCCCTTATTTGGTAGGGGTAAAATTAAATTTTTAGTAGATTTTGATAGAAATTTTTGAAAAGTATGATTAAAAAGTTGTAGGACCTATGAAAAATGTGGTTAATAATTATTATTTGACTTTAACTTAAATTAAAATCTTATTTAAATCAATACCAAACCGGGGCTATATAATTGAGACGAATGATTATATTGTATTTAAGAAGCGAAGAAATCATACAAAAATAATAGATGCCCTTTGTTTCTTTTCACCAAAATCCAAGCTCTTGGCTCTTGTTTTGTGAATTTTTTTCCACCACGCTCAAATATAGAAATTTTGAAAACCTAAAAGGTTGTCGAAAAATTTCTGCGAAGCCTAATGAATAAATTTGATCATATGGAGGTGGCTAATAAAGAATCACAACATCTTACCTGTCTTTGGAGAACTTGAAAGGAAAAGAAATTAAGATCTCTTGGGTGTCTAAAAATTTCATAAAACCTTATTAATTGCTTTAGACGAAAACGTTGGTAATCTTTGATATAGAGATAGTGTAGTCAGCGAGCATATGACTAAAAACAAGAGTTTGTTAAATCTTGTTGATCGTGGACATGTGATAATTGGAGATGCGAAATCCTATAGAATTTTAGACTTTGGAGACATTGTTATCAAAACAAAATTTGAGCAGGTTGAAAAGATGTCTGAAAGTGTATTATATACTTGGACTGCAAAGCAGTGTTTACTTGTTTTTAGCCATCTATTAATGCAGAAATATTTTGACATTCACTTTTCTGATAACATTTGCATAATGAAGAAGAAACTTTTGGTTGTGAATAATGAGTTGAACTATAATAATTTATAACCTCTCAGATTTGATATTTTAAATACAACTTAATTGCTTACTGCTAATGAAATTTTTTTCAAGATGTAGCATGTGAGATTTGGTTATCTTAATTATCCAATTTTGAAGTTATCTTAAAGAATGATTTTGAAGTTAACGAATTTGTAACACGACACAATGTCTTCTGTGTAATCAACAATATTCTACGTTATACTTTGTTCACAAGTTAGTTTCAAGGTTGAACATCCTTGAGAAACTCCAACTATTTCACGCCAATTAAGTTTATTAATATCAAGAACAGTCACACATAAGTGCATGAAAAGAAAAAATTCAAGAAGTCTCCAAAATCGTAATTTAAAAAGAAAAGAAGAAATTTAGTTCTCAATGTTGTATTATTTTCTTAATTTATGGTTATCATAAACAATTAATTTCTACGTTTTACAAATAGTATTTAATTTCCTTCTTTAATCTCCAGAATATTTGAGTCTAATGACTTGGAACAAGAAACCTCGGAAGTCCTACTTTGTACCCAAAACTTTTGACATCTTCTTGAACTTGTTTTCTATATTCTCCAAAGCTAAATCTTCTATAGACAGAAGGCTGAATGCAACTTTGTATAACCGTGTCATAGGACGGACACAGAAAATAAGCAGTGGAGAATCTTTCCTTTAACTCATTAGCAACGACTCGATGCTCGACACTTTTATAAATGTTATTGCTCCAAGCCTGCACCATAAGAAAGGAAATAGTTCATCAGTGAGCGAGAATTAGAGAATTTGTGGGAATTTTCGGCATATGAATAGAGAAGAATGCTCCATGGTCCTCAATTTATTGTTGCAGTAGCAATTTTTCATTATAATTTCACAATCAGTTCTCAATGGCGAAAATATTCCAAACCTACGTTAAATAGTGAGGTGGTCTTGATATGTCGAACTTTATGGGGCTGGAGAAATTTGAAGTTCGACAATTTTAGAAAGATTTAGACTATTATAACCAACTTATTTTGCAACTATAATAAAGGTAGCTAGGGATGATCAACCTATTTCTTTGTGAAGTTTGATCACGAGTTACTACTCGACAGAGGACCAATAAGGCAATAATCCATATGATTACAAAGAGAATGACCTGCATCAAATCCCCAATGTTGATAACTAGGGCTTCAGGGTTCGGTTTAACAGCAATCCATTTCCCATCTTTCACCAATTGCAAACCTCCAATATGATCCTGGTGCAGTACTGTGAGGAAATCACTGTCAGTATGTGGCATTATTCCAAACATTTGGGAAGACATTGGGCATGGTGGATATCGATTCATTCGAAGATAGCAAGTGCTAGAAAGGCATGTTTCCTTGAAGAAAATAGACTTCTGACCAATTTTTTCAGCTAATATATCTGCCAGTTTTTGAGCTAGTTCAGACACTGTTGTTGCATATTGTTCCATTGTTGAGCTGAATTCACAAAGAAATAAGGAAACATAATAATAAATATCAGAGTTACATAAAGATGAAATAAAAAAGAGTTGGGTTTTCAATCTTTATTTTGGAGATCATACTGGGAGTTTATGCCATTTTTAACAGTAGACACAACTAAACATTATTAACGAAAATATAAAAGTTATTTTGGCAATTCCTATCAAGTACAACGTAGTAAATGCGTGTTTTATCCATCTTGATTGACATTCAAAATGGCTATATGGGTTGTTAGGGCATGTTTGAAATCCAAGGCTACATGATAAGACATGATTAGTGAAAAGAGACATGGAACAAAATTTGTGTCACCTCATATCCAATGCAATGTACAAAACATGTTTTTAATCAACCTTGATTGATGTTCTCAATGGTTTAAGTGTTTTCTAGTCCATAAATGGATATCCTTTCAGTAAAATTCCAAGGGAACATGGTTGCAAATGCTGTCTGAGAATTTGCTACAAGGGAAAAACTGTCCCTTTGGCAATGTGTCAACCAATTACACAATTGGAAGTACGAGTGTGGATAAACTAGTGTTAATGGATCAAGTATCTAAAGATTCTCATCCCTTCGTAAAATATGTGGAGCAAAACTGCCTAGTACGAAATGCCTTCTTCAGAGAGTACTACCTCTCAAGGCTCTTATTTTTTATTCTACATGGCTAGAGAAATTTAATTGTAATTAAACATCTCAATATCTAGCTAGTTCTTTAATTAATAACATGTGTGGCTCTGCAGAGATTATACTTTCGTCTTAATGTTGACTAACTAGTTTAAAATACAAATCAAGGGATATTCTTATCGCCTATTTGGAGTCAATTTCTAAAGAAACTCGGTAATTTTACTATACCAATTTCGGTAATTTCACCATACAAATTTACCTACCCTCTGAGAGTGAACTACTAAAGATGTGTTTGGTTTGCTTGTTTTCGATATTCATTCAGTTTGCTCCTGTAAGAGCGATTAAGGCTTAATACCTAACAGTTTCTTTCTACTTATATCACATTTTAAGTTAGGCATGTGACTAGATTTCTGTCCTAATTAAAAACTTGCAATATGCTAGGTAAGACACACCCAGAAATTAGCTTTTACTAAGGAAATAATTATGTTCAATCCTACATGATCATTGTAGCAAGATATTTCAACACACGGAAAAGTGACAAGGGATAAGCTACCGAAATCAAAAAAGCCATGCTAGCTTTGCCGCTGGAAGTAAAAGCTTTTGAAAGAATGACCACTTTTCTTCGCCCCCGGGGGGGGGGGGGGTATAAGTAACATTAAACAAGTTAAGGTTAGTGAATTACCAGAGATTATTGAGGCCACCTGAACCTAAAATGTCACTTAAAGAAACATGAAAAGCCTCAGACCAAGATAATTGACCAAGGCAAGTAGCTGTTGGTGCTCCCCATCGATAACTCCCAGCAGAAAAGTTCAAATCTTTGCCATTTGTCTTGTCTTGAAATGGTTTCTTGAATAACTTCACTTGTTCTCTTCTCATATTCTCCAAGATTTCTCGGGAAATCCCGTGGTTTATAACTTGAAAGAAACCCCATTCTTGAGATGCTCTAGCTATTTGTTTCTTGCATGATTCTCTTTCGGAATCTCCAAGGTTTAACTGGTTCAGATCGACTAATGGTAGCTCGACTTCTTCCATTACAGGGAACTGGGGGAAATTCTTTTGCGTAGTATCAGTCAAGTTGTTGAAGAGAGTCTTGTATGTTTCATGAAAGGGTGGATCAGGTGATGATTCGTCCATTCTTGCAGGCTGATGAGACAACAAATTAAAATTACCAATCTTTAGACGATTTCTTCGATTTGATAGCAGAGTCAGCAAAAATACATGGCTCGATATGTATTCATTCACTCTCTAAAATCTTAAAACTTATAGAGAGGAACTAGCAGAAGAAATATGTCTTCCTTAACGCTCTCTTCGAACAAATATAACCCCAAGAATAAACTCTGGCCCAAATCACTATGAATTGAAAACAAAGAAAATAGAAAGATTGGCCCTCCATTGGACCAAGTATAAATAGTAGCAAGAAAAAAAAAGCACAAAAACATTAGCCATGGACAGCTGGTCCTATGACTTAGGCCTAGAACGAAATGTAAGGTTACTAGACTAAACTTGATTTGACGAGTGTTTGGATATTAAAATGACAAGAGGAAGAGTATAAAAAAATATACTTTGCTACCCTATGTTTCTTGTTTGTTCGGTCGATGAAAACGTTGTACTTTCTCTCTCATTTTGTACACTCCTTGGATGAATTAGAAGGACAAAATTGACGCCTGTTCTCTGTGTTTTGTTTCTTTTTCCTTCTTTCTTTGGTTAGTGTAGTGTGTGTCGTATAAATTAGTCGGGGTTATTTGGGATAAATACAAAGTTTAGCACTCCTTTCTCTTTAAATAACAAAGAAATAAAATTTCTCTTAAAATATAGAATCTATCTAAATTCCTTGGAATAATATCATGGGAACTTGTATAAGCTATCTAATTTAAAAATTTCCCATCAATCTCTTAAACCTTTTTCACCCAGAAAAAAAAAATAATAAGAAGAATAGGTATCTTTAATGGATGTTAGGGTTGTACCACTTTTTATTTTCTTATGTGAGAAGAATTCATGTAAAAGAAGTAAATTATCAACTTGTCATCTCAAAGCCCCTTGGACTGAAGTAAGGTTATTTACATTTTCAAGAAGTCATTAGAACGCATTAAAACTATTATATGCATACATATTTTTAAATTAAAAGTCTCCAAGGAAGTGCAGCTCAGTCAAATACACCAATTGTAAATTGTAAGACAGTGTTCAATCATCTTAAATATTTGTCTCCCACAATATACCTAGACGTAAAGGTACGAATATCAAGTGCTTTGAATTTTTTAAATTGGAGATAAATCATAAATCAATAAATAAATTCTGCACCGTCTAGACTGTATGGGGTAGCACATCATCAAAATAACGTCGCACAAAAGAAATAGATAGACCATGCATGTTAAATAAAGCCCTTGTTTGAGCCCCATTTTGGAGGAAAAATGCACTTTGAATAGTAGATTGATGGAGAATATGTGATAAGAAATTAAGAAAAAAAATTGAGTTTGCGTGTAATATTATTTTATTGAAGAATGTGTAATTGAAAATGAGTTTTGGAAAAATGAAATTTTTAGAAGAATGAAGCTCAAACAAGGGCAAAAATTGTCTGTGTATAATAGCTTAAGTTTGTACACTATATAATAAAATTCGGCTTACTTTGTCAATGCGATCTGGAGCATTTGCCGAGTTCACCATTAATATCATCTGATGACCATGCATTGAGCTCTAATGGTTCGTATTGGCCTGCATTTTTTGGTTAACATTAGCGCAATGAGCTGCTGGAAATTTTTGATGAGAAAACTTAGTTTGTTTCAAGGCATTTTTATCGTCAATTTGCCGATTTTTTCTTGAACAAAGGCTCCAAAAGTGTATAGGCGTACAAGCGTTTCGTATGCATATATACCTATTATGCACCTTTAACTGGAGATCAGGCCGAGCCCCCTTCTAAGACTTGTTTCATGCAAGTTATTGATATAACATGTCACCTCTATTTAAGAAAGTATGAACACTTGAAAAGTATTTAGACTAGTGGTCTTTTTGAGTTCGAATAGAGCAATATTAGCCTGTATATATAACTCTTATAGGCTGTGCCAAATGACACACCAGTGTAGAGTTTTTTATCCGAACTTGCATAAAAAAAACTGTTGTTTGTTGATTGAAATGCTACCTAAGCAAAGATGAAAAAGTAGAAGAGAGAAAGTACGGACTAGTATATATTCAAATACGAATACTTACTTGAAGAAGAGAAGAGAATGGTAGATAGATATAGCAGGCGTTTAAGTCTGATGTCCAGGAAGATTGGAGGATAGATATTTATAGTGAAGATATGATTCATTTTCAGTACTGAAATTGCGAGAATTATAGTCAAGATTTAGAATCTATGTTTAAGAAAAGAACACGCTGCTCATAAAGCAATCAGAGAACCAGTTTTACCTTTTTGAGGATTTGGCTACGAAGGTATCCCTTTTTTTCTTTTTCTTTTTTCCCATTTTACGCAATATTCTGTATGCAACACAGGATTAATTGATCGACTTAACACCAGAGGCAAAGATTTAAGTTGATCTAAAATTAGCAATAATGATCATTGAAAATTTTGAAGTTATGACAGACTAATTATATTACTTCAACTTTTCAAAAGAATCCCATCAGATTGTCTTAATTATGTAGTGAAAACTGATGTTTATTGGAAAAACATAAAAATATTTTCAGAATTTATACTAAAAATAGATCACTAATCTAAACTACCCTGAAGACTCCAGCTATCAGTCAATTGGTGTACATTCATCCAAGTCTACCACACTATGCCAACTCACCGACTGAAAATTCTTACATAATATTTCATTTGGCTCACATTCTTCCAAGTCTCTCTCTCTCTCTCTAGATTTCCCTCCCATTTGCAAGCTAAGAAAACAGTGCACATGAACAATAGTGGACCCAACTGTAATAAGCACATTACCCATCTAAGTACATGTCGGCACTGAGTCAATATGTTATTACAGTCTATGAATATATACATATAGAGTCCGACCACAACTACCTGATAAAAAAGAAGAAAACATTATCACTTATAGTTGGATCCAAGCAATGAATTGGTAACAGTCGTATAAGAATTGTTATATACCCTATAAAATATTCCTATGGGAGCTGCTTCATTTTTAGAAGTTCACAACTTTTATTACCTCCAAACGGCATTGTTCTTCTATCAGAGTTTCATCTAATGAGAAAAAATTCCAGATCCTTGTCTCCTGTAAGTAAAGTCTAGGCTGCATCTCAAATTCACAAAATTAATTTGAAAAAATCAGTAGGGATATGCAGGACTAAACCCCCACTTCCACCTCCACCCCCACCACCACCCCACCCTACCAACACAAACACAATAACAAAATCTAGGTCACATGCATGCTCAATTTGAATGTCACGTCGACAAAAGTAGAAAAGACCAAAGAATGCAGAATGAGGATTTAAGTGCAAGCATGTGATTTGCTCGCAGAGGAAATGACATGGAGTAGTGTACCTCTAGGCCTCGCTACAACAGAAAATGTTTACAAATTGACTATACATACTTGAATAATTGATTTTCTTTACGGAATATCTCTGATGTGTATTGAACAACTACCAAGTGTTTTTTAAAGTATCTTAGAAGAAACAACAAATATGGGTTGAATTCAACTACATATTTTCTAGTCGAGACTATATATGGTTAAAAAGTAAAGAAAATTTTTAGTCTACTTGCAAAATATGTTATTGTATAAATGTATAGCTGAAAATGAGTATGAGATTTAGCCCCTATTTGTTTTCCATTATTTACTCATTAAAATGAAAAACATTACCGTTATCCATCACATCAGCCACCATATTTGAAAATTTATTTCTTGTGTGGGACCCGCAACGACTATATTTTGTATTCTCATTTTTATATTAATGTGGCTCAAACGGTGCCTAAAGTGGTTATTTTGAAGAAAGAGAATTGTATTAGGTTGTTATATATACACCCATAAATATAAGGCTTTTTGTTGATAAAAAATAGTTTACCACATGCCAATATTTAGATTGGTTATATAAGAGCTCCTTCCATAATTGAGTTTCTTAATTACTTCCTTTACAATTGATATATATATATATATATATATATCATTATCCCATTACAAAAACGGATGCAATTTCATAAAGAAAATAATCAATTATAAAACACCTATTATTAATCGCCTTATTAGAATAGTGCAATTGAGTCACTTTAAGAGCATCTTCAATGTATTATATTGATTGTCATCCACGTGGCATGTCAATCGAAAAACTTGTTGTTAATTATCATTGATGCCTAATGAATAGACATTCAATCTCAAAATTAATCTACAATATGCTGTATCTATATCCTAATATTAATGTCCATGTACCTTTTATATATTTAAAATAAAAATACAATCATAATATTCATGTCTAACGATGCATAGAAAATATGACGAAGCTCTTCTCAATATGTACATTTTTCTTTTTCGTGTCAACTTGATATAGTCCTATCACATTGCATTTGAAAGGAATTTAAACATAGTTTATTTTGCCTATAAGTAAATTTATTTTAGCAATCCACTGAAGCATCGAATGCTCTAAATTAGTTTAGTTCCTACATCTTGGGATCTTTATTATGCAGGTGATGCTTTTGAACACATGCATGACAGTATCAACAAGGGATTAGATTTGCCGAAAATGGGTTATGAACACATTGATGAATTATGAAGATGGTAGTGATTGGAATAGTAAACATGAAACAACAAAAAATTACATCGAGGAGTTAAGTGAGAGCACGTATTGTTTAGCTCCCAACCATTTAGACTGTTTGAACTCTTCGTATTGTATTTACATTTAATAGATGCTACGTCAAATGTTCATATCCTAATCTTCTTCTTTTACTTTTGAATGAAAACTCCACCCTCCTGGTGATTTGAGTTAACCAGTAATAAAATAAATAGTTAGACAAATCAAACATTTATGGTGCCCAATTTCTTGATAAATTGGTGGAGGAAGTAAATTTCTATAAAGATATTTTAAAAGACAATTATATTGAGTGTGCCCAAAGGGGGCCTACCTGCACCTTCACCTCTCTGGTTGCGCCTGTCTGCAGCTGAGTGTGTCCCCTGAGAAAGCTCAGCCAATTTTATATTGAATGGTTAATCTTCTTAATATTAGTTCAAATTATGTGTTGATTCATGTTATTAAAATAATCAATGTGTAATTTATCTTTAATATGTTCCCGCAAAATAATGATTCATTTGAGCACACATTTTAGAATTCAAATTCTCATTTAAGCATAGAATATATCAAATAACTCTTTTAAACTTAATAGACTTAAATACCATATTGAATTTATTCTTAAAATAAAATAGTAATCTTTTCAAAGAAATAGCACAAGTCTTTATAACGCATGTTGGTAAAGTCTTTATGTATTGGTAGGTAAATATTCTATCTTTAATGGAAATGGAATTTTACCAAAAATTTAGTGGTGTTTGAAGATGTGATCCTTATAGCTATTGGAGAATAGCCAATTTTGTAATCTCTCTCCTTCATCTTTACATGTAAAAAGCTTGTTTTTGCATATCTTTTCTTCAAAACTCTAAGTATACTTTGTCATTTTAGAGAAATGTAGTATAGACTTCAATCTCTTTAATATTCGCGTATGCACAATATAAACAACATTCAGCCCATTTCATTTTATCTGAGAAAACACTCTTGCATATCCAAATGCATCGTCGTAGTGGTGTAGATAAATAATGTCTTAACATCTTAAGGAATGTTTCATAACTTCATTTGAAGCCGACTTTGGTGATTTTTGTGTTATTAAACTATATATAAGTTTATATAATGTTCATATATTTTTCTTCTACTTAGCTTGAGAAAGTTCCGATGATCCCATGTACATCAACATACTCTCATGCGGAATTATATTTTCGAAATTTGCAACTTAACTATGAATTCAAAAAAAAAAAAAAAAAAGAAAAATCCAAGGAAATAACAGCAGCAATCCAAACAGCAATAGTACTCTTCTATCGTACTTGTAAAAATTAATATCAAACATAAACTATCCAGATCCAAGTTGGCCCACAAAAGACTCAGACCAATGGTTTTCTACTACATGGCAAACGGCTTGCCACATGGCACTAGCTATCTGCATTTCCAAAATTTCAGGATTGTCTTAAGAATGGACTTAGAAAGAACTAAGTTAAGAATATGTCCAACTGTTTCCAGTGTATATCCCAAAATAAGATAAGTAGAGTTGTGAAACTCTTCATTGACCTAACCATATCTGACGATGTCTTGTTTTTTCTTTTGGAAATGACATTCCGTTTAGGTATACCAGATGTATCCAATTAAGAAATAGTACAATTTTCTGTTAAATTGTCCCTGAATTCTCCCGAGAGGTATTCATCACCTCGATTTATCCTTATTGAGCAAAAACATTGAATTACGTTTCCAATCCACATGATTTTTCCTATTAGTTGGTTTCGTTTTAGAATAACGAAAAAAATTGACCAAGCAATATTTCGAATAAAAAATAATCGTACATTGCATATTAAAATTGAGCAACAAATAACAATGTAGCATATGATGCATTAATGAACATGTAGATTCACCTAATCACAATAATGCAACGATTACTTGATCCTTATAATCCAACAACCCCTTCTATAGGAAAGGTCACAGTGTTCACTGATCAAGTGGGACCCTCCCTCTAGACAAATCATATCTGACAACAAGTGCCTATATAAATTTACTCTCATGGGAATTTTTTTTTTCAAAATTTGAAATTAAACAATAAATTAAAAAAAAAAAAAAAAAAGGAAAATCCAAGGTAATAATGGGTTGTGGGTGTTGATCTCAAAGGATAGTAAATAATGAGATTTAATGACGATGTGAAGTAATAAAGATCACAACAAGAAACAAAATTAAAAATAAAGAAATAAACAAAGAGAATTTATCTCAGAGGAACGATGTATTATAAACTAACAATATGGAGAGAAATTACTGATACAACAATAATGCTTAAACAAAACTAACAGTGGAGCCTTGTATTTATAGAACACATTTCAAATCTTAGAAGAGTCCTAAAAGGCAAGAAAATATATTACAATTAGGAGACCCAATTTTAAAGAGATTTTGTTTCCTTGTAGTTGAATGCAGTTAGACTCATTTCTAACACCAACAACACGTGATTCAAGACTCTTGTTTGAATCACAACTCTAACAATCTCCACCTTGACTCAAATTTTGGTACAACGAGCGGGGCTCCACAAAATTTCTCTACCTAAAAAATAAACCCATTTGCATGGAAATGAAATGGCAAATCTCCTCGACGCAATAACCAAAACTCTCCATATAAATCATCGTCCTTTGCACGGCGTCCATAAGCGACACCTGAACCCTACTCCCGAGTTCCCAAAATTCCACCAAGGAATTAATGTTTACCAAACAGGGTCGAAGTAACAGAAACCGTACAAAATGTCTGAATAGAAAACCCTTCGCTAGAACTGTCGCATTTAAAGTCCCCAAAAGCAATACAGACATCACTGACACCACGGTATCTACACTCAATGGATCCAATCCAAACAACTAAACACAGTGCAACTGCTGAAATTGATGGCAAAGCAGAATCACCAATGCTTCCTCGAGCAAGTTCTGAACCAACCCAGAGCCCGTCACAAGATGTACTATACCAAACTGAATATCCACCACGATACTGAACTTGCCCATATATCTCTTAACTGATTCTACGCTCCCCTACAAGATTTACAATTGAGACATTCTATGTGTCTCTAATACAACCAGGACACCCTTTCAGACTTTCAAGACTCCACCTCCACCAGAGAATTTATATCTTTTTACATCCAGAGTACTATGCGAGATGAGATTCCTTTTTCAGTTTTGGAACATGTCGAACCTGATCAATTTTTCTGACTATCTCATCCAGCAGCCTAAATCTGACTTGACCTATCCCAGCAATACAACAATACTGGTTGTTTCCCATTACAACTCCACCTTGCTGAACAGCATCATATGTCTGAAAGAAATTTTGATTGGAACACTTATGATGCGAACATGTCGAATCAAGAATCCACTCCTCGTCAGGTCTAGATTTCACGTCAGATACCACGATTTGTTTCGTCTGAAGTCAAAAGTTGCGCTCCACGATTTGCAGTTAAATCACCCTTAACTTGCAACTTATCACAATCCTTCCGAATATGTCCCATACATCTGCAGTAGAAGCAAAACAAATTGTTGTTATTCTTCGATCTGCCTCTCCGTCGACCATCATGAGATACAAGAGCTTTCTCATCCCTCGATGTAACTCCAACCAAATGCTTCAACTTCTCCTTTGAGTGCAAAACATCATAGACGTCGTTTATAGTCAAAGTATCCTGACTATACAAAATGGTGACCAGAAACGACGCATAAAACCCAGGCAACGAACGCAACAGGATCAAAGCCAAATCTTCTTCATTGTACTTAACCTCCAATGTCTCCAAATCTGCAACTATTTCCTTGAACACGACAATATGGTCCTCCAATGACCCTCCTTTCATCATGAAATGAGAATATAGCTTCTACTTTAGAACCAGTTTGCTCGTGAGACTTTTAGTCATGCATAACTGCTCCAATTTCAACCACAAGGCAGTCGATGTTTTCTCCTTTAAGACATCTTGCAGAATATTATTGGATAAATGAAGATGGATCCGTGATAAAGCCTTCCGATCCCTCCGATATTTCTCTTCCGTTGTTCAATCAGCTGGCATCTTCTCAAAACCTAGCAGCGCATCATCCAAATCCAACTGCATCAGAATAGTCCTTATCTTTATTTGTCACAAAGAAAATCTTGTATTGTGATTCAACAGGGGAATGTCATACCTCATGATAGTCATCTCTAAAAAAAACCCCAACCAATCCACAGAAGAAGAACCAAGTTCTAATACCACTTGTTGATCCCAAAGGATTGTAAAGAATAAGATTTAATGACGATGTGAAGTAATAAAGATCACAACAAGAAACAAGATTAAAGGTAAAAAAAAATAAACGAAGAGAATTTATCGCAGAGAAACGATGTATCATAAACTGGCAATATGGAGAGAAATCGCGGACACGGCAATAATGCTTATACAAACCTGACAGAGGAGCCTTGTATTTATAGGTCACGTTTCAAACCCTAAAAAAGTCCTAAAAAACAAGAAAATATATTATAATTAGGAGGCTCAATTTCAAGGAAATTTTGTTTCCTTATTATTGAAAGTAGTTAGACTCCCTTTTAATACCAACAACACGCAATTCAAGACTCTTATTTGAGTCACAACTCTAACAGTGCAGCAATTCAATGATAGAAAAATATGTGAATTAAAATTGATTCAACCATCCGAAACTATCTTTTACGACGCTATCATGTCATATTCGAAAATCACTCCTGTTGTATGGTCCGGGAGACTAATGCTATCTCAAATATGGGTCCAATTTTAAATAATTAAAAGCATGTGAAGCAATAGAACTTTTTGTTTTAATTAATGGGCCAGTAATCTAGTTGGACGACAAAGGGAGAAAAAAATAGTAGAATTTATTTTCACGACATTTTATTCTTGAGAGAATTTAAAATTTGATAAAAATTAATATCAAAATTAATATTTAATTTTAATTATAATTATACATTATATGGGACACATTTCATTAATCTTTTCAATTATCAAAAATATTGTCAAACAACCCCTTAAGAAATAATCCACTAAATTCAATAATGTATGAAAGTAAATTTATAATGAATGAAGCACAAATTATGGATGAAACAATTGTGAATTTAATGAAGCTATTAAAAATTATTCTAAATACAATTTCATATTCATAAAAAATTGAAGTAATAATATTATTATTGTCGTGAGGAATAAACCACGCAGGCTTGAAAATGGGTTTCAATTTTTAATGCCAAAAATACCATTAATTGATTGAAGTGACAGGTGCAAATCATAAAAATTGTCCACGAAATGATTAAATTGGTATCTAGCCATGAGTTTGACAGATGAAAGGGACATATTAAAGAAAAAAATAATTGAGCTTAAATTACATTACATTTCATTTTTCTCTCTCCTATTTTCAATCACACAATCTTCCATAAAATAATATTATACATAAATCGAAAACTTTTCCTTCTTTTTCAATCACTCATTTTTCAAAAAATACTATTCCTCTCATTTTCATTTTCAAATAATGGGGCTCAAACGGGGGCTGTATTGGCTTCTATCATTGCATAGAGCTCCACTGGTAAGTGTCAGTTGTTGACCATCTAGATGTACTCCTACGACATATTCATGCGCTGAGATGTGCATCTAAGGCAAGATGAAACCATTTTTCTCAAAGACTACTCTTATTGACAGAAAATTTACAATCACCCTTTGTAGGTAGGATAAGGTTATATATTTCATTCCAAACACTATTTTATTGAAGGCAAACGATATCACATGAGATGGAACCCGTCTAACCAGCCCCCAAGAGTCTAGCAGCCCTTGGGACAGCCTCTCCACGACACGAGCCGGTAAGCATAAAAGATAAATAAAAGCACAGGATACTTTGACTAGGAAGCTTTTCAGTACTTCAATCATAATTCAATTGTTAGCAATTTTATCACGCCACATGGATAGGGAAGTTCACTATGTTCACTCGCGAAATGTGCTAACATCGTGTTAAATTCTCTAGTGATGCTTCGAGTAAATCATAACCAGAGTATTTTATCTTATTTCTTTTTAGGGAAAATGGCAGCAACGGTCCCCAACCTTTTTAAATTCTGCAGACTTTATTCTAACATTCAATTTGTGCCAATAGAGATCCTAACCTTTAATAAATATGCACTTGGAGTTCATCTGAATGAAAATCATCCATAAAATCGTTAATTGACCTAAAAAAAATATTTTGACAAAATTTGGTAAGGGCAAAGTGATAATTTAGTTAATTTCATATTATAAAAAACGAAACAAAATCAGAAGAAATCTAAAAAATACCTCATCTTCCACCCCCACCCAGTCAAAATAACCTCTTTTCTTCTTCTCCGACAAGCCTACTATAAACAACCACCTTCGACCTACACTACCACCGCTGCTCTCATCACCACCTCCCACTACCAATTCCGACATCATCCACTGCCACCTTCTAGCCCACTCCACATTTGCCAATGTACATTCGAAGATAAACCAAGAAAACTCACCCAATACTCGAAAATCAAACCAAGAAAACTCATCCATCGTTGAACGAGGGCCACCTTCGCCACTCACACAATGCCCACATAAATCGATACCACCACCATCTCAAACGCCAATGACCTCCGCAATGAATACCTATAGCAAAGAGTGAAATGGTTGTTAAATCCTCTGCAAGTTCGCTCTATAATTTTGAAACCTCTCAAAACCTAGCAAAAATCCATTGTCCACTATTGATTTCAAAATCAACAAATTCAGAATCGACACCAAAGATCTAACAATTAGATCTCCACCAATCGCCGCCATCACTATCGATTGTCAAATCCTCACACAATCACAATCGAATATATTAAAATCGAAAAATGAATATCAAAACTATTAGAAAGCTTCAATAGATTTATGCCAAAAAAATAAAATAAATAAATAAAAAATAAAAAATAAAATCCTGATTTGAGTTGAAGGTGGTTTTTTTTTTTTTTAACCAACCCTGAAATGGTTTTTATTTGGGGATAGTTCAAAATGGACGGACTTCGTACAGTTGGATTCAGGGTACATAATTATAAAATGTTAGGATCCTCTATTGACACAAATTAAATATTATGATAAAATCTGCAAATTTTGAAAATGTTAAATACAGCTGTTACAATTTTTCCTTCTTTTAACCATTTTCGAACTAATATCACAATTGATTTTAAACCAAGGGACCAAAAACAATGCCTCGTACATGCACCTAGGTGGAAGATATCGAATTCGGGCTGCTTAGAGGGTGGAGATGGGCCATCATTTTGATTGGACGGTCAATCATTAGGAGACCGGAGGTTCAACCTTCAACAATACAGTTGAAGAGGATATTTTATGATTAGAGTCTTATGATTTTAGACAAAAATGGTATATTATTATTAGAATTTTAGTTAAACATAAACTCTAAAAGAATATAAAAATGTTTAAAAGAATTTATGAGGGTAAATATTAGTGGATGAAGTCAGAATGATATATTTTTATATAATTTTATATGTCATTTAGGTAAATTTACATAAGATAAAAAAATATAATATAATTATATTTTTATATATATATATATATATATATATATATAATTTGTGGACATTGCATGATGCCACGTGGCAGTGAAGTATCCGGAAGATACTTCCATTCCCACCTGCCTGCCTGCCTGCCTTATTATTTTGATAATTCCAAATCATGTGGACTGTTGGTGAGAAAAGAAAAAATTATGGGAAGTCCTCTAACTTATATATTTCTATCACGTTGGTCATTTATATTTTAATATGATCGATCAACCTGTATTTTTATTTCGGTTTAAATATTTTGCGTGTAACCTTCATCAAAATTGTCATAAGTTGTGACCTGGCCAAAGCAATTATAATCAGACTTGTGAAATTTGCAACCAAAAGATACTCAAACTTCTAGAGAAAATCTCTTCAATCAGTGATTTTCTCACTACCATATTTTCAATGCTAAAAAGGTGATAGATAACCTAATTGGGATGTCCCAGTGCACCTCCGATCTCGAATAAAATTTTCCATTTTTTTATCTCTCTTCCCTTTTCATCAGTTTTCCTTTTTCTTCATGAAAAATAATTATACTTACAACAAATTCTTTTATTACGATTGATTCCTAGTTTATTAGTGAATTCCAATAAGTTTAGCTAACAGTGAACGAATATATAAAAAATCGATCACAATACATTGAAACTGTCATCAGTTCGAATCAATTCCATAAAGAATGAGCTCTGAAAAGCTCTTTTAATTAAAAATGTAGAGCTTCTTTCTACTCTTTAAGTGAGAACTCTTCCATTTTGATATTTTGATTGAAAATTATTTTTTTAAGAAAATATCAAATATGGTACAAAGGAATAACAATTGACAGCCTCATAAATTGATTGGGTCTAACATGTTAATCATTACCAATATATACCGGAAACTGGACCATATATGTTTAGTTTGAAAATCAACATATGATGAGACGTTGGTCTTTACCGACAAAAAATATATCACTCAAAATCTATAGGGAAGTGTTACGTGTACATAATTGTCTACATAATAATGTTTATAATTCTACGTGGCACTAGATCCAACTTTTAATTCAAAAGATGAGACATTGGTCTTTACCGACATAAAATGTATCACACAAAATCTATAAGGAGGTGCTACATATACATAATTGTCTACATAATGGTGTCCATAATTATACATGACACTGAATCTAACTTTTAATTCAAATCTCATACTTGCACATCAACAATAAAATGATTGTCACATCACATTATGAGTACCATTATGTGCAATAATTATGTAAAAGTAGAGTTTTCCAAATCTATATTGATAACAATTATGCTAGTCAAACAGGGGCAGGTGACATAATTTAAGGATAGACATTGCATGTCAGCAGCTGGTTGGTGCTTCTTCTTCTTTTTTTTAAACTGTCCAATCGATGTGCGACACTTGCCCCCTTATTTAAAAATGCTATCCCCAATCCTCTTTGTGTAACATATCTCATACTGAAAATGACACAAGCATAGAAATATTGAAAATCGACAAATTTAATTATTTTCTTACACCCATAAATGTTAAAGGAATCTCGTGGCAATTTAAGAATCGTCAAATATTGACATATCGTAAAAGAAACAAATAAAAGTCGTTGAAAAGAATGTGTACTTTCCTTTCAAGATGTAGATAACTTTCCATAATTCAAGTTCCTTGGGTACATTACAGAAACAGTTAGGTGTGAATTGTCAATTGATTAAGAACTAGCTAATGAAGAAATTGTACATGTCACATCAATTTTTGACGAACTAGCTAATGAAGAAATTACACGTGCCACAACATTTTTTTCAACAATCAAGTGGACGATTTCGGGGAAAGGTCCTCAACGTTTGGGTTTATTTTCAGTGCCATCCGAACCTTTTTCTTGGACTGCTAGGTTCCCAAAATTCGAAAAATAGGCAGCATTCATCTAAATGGATGCTTCCATTTTTTCGTAAGTCAAGCCCATGGACCTGCACTTTCAAAATTTAACAGGGAAATTTTGTTATTTTATCATTCTTAGTCAAAATATTAAAAAAATGAGAAATCCCCAGTGTTTTTGTCTATGGTTGGCGATGGCGTGCAGTGAGGATAGTGATGGGTTGAGTGGAAGAAGATGACTATATATTTCTACTTTTTAATTCTTTGTTTTTTTTTTTTTTTTGGAGTATGCTGGTAATGGAAAATGAAGTTAATGAGAGCTATTGTATAATTTTCATTTTTCTATATTTTAACTATGAATATTTAAATTATAATTTTATCCTTTTAATTTTTGAATGTACAGGTCAATTGGGTTCATCAACAGAATAGAATTGGTATTGAGACCAGTAGTTCGGAAAAAAAGTTGAGAATAAAAATGTAAATGAACCAAAGGTTGAATATAGTTACCGTAATTTATCACTTTTACACCACAATTTTTTATAAGTTGTTTACATTATAAAGGTCTCTCTCATTTATTGTCATAGTTATGTCTCGGCTTGTTTTTCATCCCATCCAGAATGTTATTTAGCCCCCGTTTGATTCTCATTCATATGAGAATGAAAATTAAAAATATAGTCATTATAGGATCCACACAAGGAAAGAAAATCAAATATGATGACTTGATGTGATGAATAATAGTCACATTTTTCATTTTTGTGATTAAAGAATGTGAAATAAACGGGCCTATATGGGAAAAAAATTGATTACAATAATATCACAATCCTAAAAGACGATAAAAATCAACAGAAACAATAAATATAACGACATGTCATATCAATTGGAAATGAAGCGTGTACAAAAATTTGGTGCCTAGTTCCA